TATGTTTGCCACCCCAAGTCAAGTCTCCTTCCATCACCATTTGTCCCCCCTTACCTTCTTGTATCTCCCCCCAACTCCTTTCCCTCTGGTAATCACCATGCTGTTATCTGCATCTATGAGGTTTTTTTTAATCCCTTCACTTTTCCTCTGAGCCCCCCAAGGCCCCTCCTCTCTGGCAGCTGTCAGTCTGCTCTCTGTAGCAATACTAGATTATTTTAAAATTACGGAAAAAAAACCTATGTATTGGGACTCATGGTGAATAAGGAATAAATCAATTTAGTGGGATTATTATTTATTTCAGATATATTAATAGAAATCAGTGTAATAATGACTTTCGGATAGAAATGAAAAAGCTGTGTAGACACTTCCGGTCGAGACTGCGGGTAGGTAAACACAGTATCGCGTCCTCCCACAACCACATCAAAGTTACAACTAAACTATAGAACAACCATCATTCAAAACCGCCTGAAATCAAGATGAATGGAAGTCCTACAACTACGGGATTAAAGCAGCAGCTGCATCCAGACTGGTAGGAGGGGCGGAGGCAGGCGCGAGGGGTGGTGGCGAGTCGGCTGGTCCCACACCCACGTGTGGAGGATAAAAATCAGGAGGACACCTCGGCTGGGAAGGTCCTTCCTCAGGATTGAGGGGTCCCCGTCCCACACCAGGTGCCCCGCTCAGGGTTCCAGTGCCAGGAAGAGACTCCCCATCACTTCTGGCTAGAAAACCAGCAGGAACTGAGGCTCAGGAAGGCTGAGGCAGCTGGAGCCCCAGGCAGCTCCTTAAAGGGCCCGCACACGGACTTATCGGACTCTCTCCCTCTAAGCTTGGAGGGGAGGCAGCTCGAGGGGCGCCAGAGACACACAGGGAAGAACTGAGCTGTTTGGCACTGGAGCGAGGGCTGGAGAGGGGGCTTTCTCCGGGACAGATGTGCTGTGAGAGGCCTTTGTTCCTTTGGTGAGCCCTTCCCTGGGGCAGCAGACAGAAGCCATATCTGGGACACCAGCAACCTGGCTCACACTGGTAGCCCCGCCCTGGTAACTCCCTGAGGCCCCGCCCCACCCAACTTTCAGGCCCACCCAAGCTGTTGCCAGTTGCTTAACCGTAGGATTGGCCTGTTTTGGATCCTGTTTCAGGTTTTCCTAAATTCTTTCAAATAAGCAGCATCTGGTAACAGCTAGCCCCATACCGCTCGTTGTTAAGTAATACACAGAAACAAACCTGGGGAGGCAGCCAAAATGAGGAGACAAAGAAACAGGTCCCAAATGAAAGAACAGAACAAAACCCCAAGAAAAGAGCTAAGTGAAATGGAGATAAGCAACCTAACAGATGCTGAGTTCAAAACACTGCTTCTAAGGATACTCAATGAACTCAGTGAGAACCTCAGTGAACTTAGTGAGGGCCTCAAGAGCATAAAAAAGGACCAGTCAGAAATAATGGATGCACAGTCAGAAATGAAGGAGGCATTAACTGAAATAAAGAATAATTTACACAGATTCAATACTAGAGTACGTAAATCCAAGAAGCAAACCATCGATTTGGAATATAAGGAAGCAAAAAGCACCCAATCAGAACAGCAAAAAGAAAAAAGAATCCAAAAAAATGAGGATAATGTAAGGAGCCTCTGGGACAACTTCAAGCATGCCAACATTCGCATCTTGGGGGTGCCGGAAGGAGAAGAGCGAGAACAAGAAATCGAAAACCTGTTTGAAACAATAATGGCAGAAAACTTTCCTAACTTGGTGAAGGAAACAGACATACAAGTCCAGGAAGCACAGAGAGTCCCAAACAAGATGAACCCCAAGAGGCCCACACCAAGACACATCATCATCAAAATACAAAAGGTTCAAGACAAAGAGAGAATCTTAAAAGCAGCAAGAGTGAGGCAGCTAGTTAACTACAACGGAGTTCCCATAAGGCTGTCAGCTGATTTCTCAAAAGAAACTTTGCAGGTCAGAAGGGAGTGCCAAGAAATATTCAGAGTGATGAAAAGCAAGAACCTACAACCAAGATTACTCTATCCTGCAAAGCTGTCATTTAGAATCGATGGACATATAAAAACTTTCCCAGACAAGAAAAAGTTAAAGGAGTTCATCCCCACCAAACCGTTATTATATGAAATGATGAAGGGTCTTTTTGAAGAAAAAGATAAAATATATGAACAGACAAAATGGCAATGAATACATATCTATCAACAATGGAATCTACAAACAAAATAAACAGGTAGAACAGAAACATTCTCATAGACACAGAAAACATTTTCTTGGTTGCCAGATGGGAGGGGGGTTGGGGGAATGGGTGAAAAGGTGAAGAGATTAAGAAGTACAAATTCATTGCTAGACTGACAAACCTCAAAGGGAAAGGGGTTGGGGGGTAGGAAGAAATATACCAAGGAACTTATATGCATAACCAATGGACACAGACAATAGTGTGGGAAAAGGCAGGAGGGGGGTGGGAGTGGAGAGGAGGGGGTCAATGGGCGAAAAATGAGGAACATCTGTAATACATTCTATATTCAACAATAAAGATTTAAAAAAAAAAGAAAGCAAAAGCTGTGTAGAAATTTAAACTAACTGAGATGGAGTGAAGATGAAGAAGACATTGTGCAAGTCAACAAACATGAAATGGGGGCAAAAAGATAAACTATTACAAAGAAAACTATATGGTAAATATAACATCAGATAGGAGGAATAAAACAGATTATGTCCATTGTCACAGTGATGTAGACAGGCTGAATTTCATTATCAAAAGGCAGAGACTGACAGATTTTGTTTAAAAACATCCACCTGTAAGTTAACTGTGAAAATATACATAAAACAAATGATCAAAGCTATTAAAAACGAGGAGATGAGAAAAAAATACAACATGAGGAGACATGGTAACGTCAGTATCATAAAGCGGAATGTAAGGCCCAAAACTGTTCCAGGAGACTGAGGCCAACAAAGCTGTCAGGATGTCAGGAGTGAAGATTCTGGAGTGGAAGCAAGAGTCAAAAAGTAGGGCAATAGTGTGAGCTGCCTTGACCAGTTTGTTAGGACAAACTGCGAGCGTGAGTAGCTCAAGGTTTAGCAGCAACTCACCAAGCTGAGGAAGACACACTGGAGCACAGAGCTCTCCAAAAAGGAGACCACCCTGGCTTCCGCCTGAGGCCATGAAGGGAATGTACTGAGATATAAGGGCGAACCAGGAACAGACCAGGTTCAGGAACCCAGCCTAGATAAACTCTGCCTGACTGAGCGAGGGGACCCATTCTGACTGCCCACTGGAGCGAAAGGACTCCTCTGTGGAGGAAGAGAAAATCAACAGTGTCTGCAATTTCTGTTTTTACAAGGTGTCCAATATTCAATTTAAAACCCCCCAGCTCTACTAACTGACAGAACCAAGAGGAAAAGGACCCTGAGCATAGCAATTCCCAGGTTACTCAGATATCCAAAGAACAGTGACTAATATTTAAGAAAACAGAACGTGGAGAATTATTCCGGAGAACTGGAACCTGTAAGAAGAATCAACTGGATTTCTAAAACTACTTGCAACTCCTCCGATGGACTGTCTCAGTGGTCTGCAAGCCTGGCTGTACCGTGGAAACCCCGGGCTGTCCTAGGGACCTGGGACGCTGCCCCGGGGTCCCATGTGCAGCTGGGACTGAGAACCACACCTCGTAGAATGAGTCCAAGATTGAACAGGCCCAGAGACCGCGAACAGGTTTTGGGAGCAAGAATTATTTCCTAAGTAAGGAGGCACATTCTGCAGTGAGAGTGGGCTTGGTGCTGAAAGCTCAGCCCTGCTGCTCGCTGGCGAGTCACAAAACCCCTCTGCTTTGCGCCCCGAATCCATCAAATAAGTGTTGGCTCCTTCAAACTGTAATGTGAAGTTTGAAAGGGAAAAGAGATAAGACTTTTCCAAATTTTGAAAATCATACCAATGTAATTTGTGAGTATTCCCATCATCAAACAAAAGCTTTGCTATGTAGGGTGGGCCTTGCACAGGTCTTTCCACTCTGAACCTCAATTTCCTCATCTGCAGAGTGGAGCTGCCTGCTTTGCAGATTACACCTTCAGTAGCAAGGTAAACAACAGGAACCAAAACACAAGATATTATATCGTTTGCTTGTTATGTATTTGCATTTGTATTACGAAGCTGTGCATAGACTCACTCCAGTCCTTGATAACAAGCCTGCATCAAGTCCCATAGTCTGTCATGTTAGTAGATACTGACACCCAGGCAGCTGTAAGCAGGTACAGCATTTCTGCCTGCAAGGCTTTGGAACTTCAAAACAAATTCCCAGTTATCTTTGGTTTATGAATAAACCTGTTGAGGTGACAAGTGCAATTGACTTAGGTGCCCAGGAGGTGCCGCTTTAGCTTCTATTACATGGGCTTTCCTGATTGTTAGGTGTGTGACATCAATACTGGCTACAGGTGAATGTGTATAGTCAACCTCAGTGAAGCGAGTTGGAAGTCTCTGGTGTGAGGTGTCATAAAAGGGGGAAGGGGTGCAGAGGTGCATTTTAGCCTGCCCTGGGAGCAAGTCATACCACCTTCCTCTGTTCTCAATTTCTCCCTCTAAGTTCAGTACCTGGCACCTTTCCTAGCCACCAGAAGTTCTGTATTCTCCAGTATTGTGCTCTGTATTCTTATATTGACCACAAGTCCAGTGATGATAAATGTTGAGCTCTTGGGGAAACTCAAAGATTTACAGTAGTGGATTTGAAAGCATGAGATAGGGAAAAAGTCTTTGAAGTCCTGTTTTGGACTTTATCGATATATACATTCTTACCTGTGCAACGCAATACAAATTTAAGTTGTCAGCCAGTGAAATTAATAGATTTTCTTCTTTCCTAAAGCAAATCTGATCATTACTGCATTGCAACGTACCTTGCAACAAACAAAACAATAGATTCAGGATGTTCAATTTCAATGCAACAAAACAGAACAAATCTCCTTGGAGGGCATGAACTGTCATTTCATCAAATGAGACTCTGAAATATTGTTCCCACTTACCTACTGATATGGTCCAAACAGCAATTATTTTCAGAAATGCCTTAGTTCTGGAGTTGAAGCGGCTGTGATGGATGGGGTTCTGGATGGCGACGTAGCGGTCCAGTGAGATGGCGCAGAGGTGCATGATGGAGGCCGTGGAGAAGAGCACATCCAGGTAGATCCAGACTGCGCAGAGCTTGCTGGGCAGAGGCCACCGGTAACCTAGGGCGCAGGAGCTTAGTGTCAGTAAGAGCCTGTGCCTGGCATGTGGATTCTCCCCGCTGCCAGTTTCCATGTGGGGAAGGGCACAAGAGGCAGCAAAGGGCAACATAAGACATTTTCAATATTTCTAAAAAGCCTGATCGCAACTGTGGTTAATTACAATAAGATTTCACAAGCTGATGAACACAAGTGTGAACATTTCTTTTGGCTGGAACTATGTCAGTGTGTTGGGGTAAGCAGGTTCTTTGTCATTTCTTTCACTCTGTTCTGGGTAACAAAACATATGTTTTTTGGTTTGTTTGCTTTTTGTTTTGAAATTACTTAGGTCATGAGTTATGACATGGTTTGTGCTCCCCTACTGAAGCACCTCATGTGTGCTATCCTTATGTATCACACATCTTTCACACATTTTAGGTTCCCCGGAGTCAGGCCCATCCCTTAGTCATGATCATAATTGCTTAGTCTTATCCTGTGATGGCATTTAGTAGTCTCTCAATAAATGGTGTTGCTGTGAAGGAGTAAGTGACTAAAAATTCAGAATGAGGATATGTCTGTACTTATAAAAAATAAAACATAATTACCTAATAACGCTTTGGGAGTTAAACTCAAATTTGGGCCTTAGGGGGGTAGGGGGTGGGAAATGAAGACAAAGGTGAAGAAAAGCATGGTGTTCCTGTCCTGAGAATTGTTTCAGGGTGGTGGTCCTCACATTGGAGTGAGCATCAGACTCCTCTCTGGAGGCTCTGAGTCTGTTAGTCTGCAGAAGGGCGAGAGAGTTTATATTTCCAAGTTCCCAGGGGGTGCTGATGCTGCTGGACCAGGGACCCCACTGTGGCAACCACTGTTGAGGGCAGTGCTTCTCATTCCTGGCTACACATTAGAACAGCTAGAGAGCTTTAGGGAAGTCCTGGTGCCTAGGAGGGTGAGTGGAGGGGCATCCCCAACACGAAGTGTTCAAAGCTCTCCAGAGGGTTCCCCTGGGAGAGCCATCAGGGAGACAGGATATGCTCTAGGACATAAGCAAAGTGTCCTGTTGTGTATGTGTGTGTGTGTTTTGGAGGGGAAATTAAGTGGTTATGTGAACGTAATTAATCTTGATAACAATATAAGCAACAGTGTTAGATCTTGGCATGTGAAAAGGGAAATTATAAAAAGCACATTTTCTTTACAGTGGTCCAAACCCACATAGCCGACCAAACTCTCCATGTTCAAACATACTCTCTTTACCAAAATGCCACCACGGGTATTCAGGAAAGTAAGGGTTGCAGGATACAAGCCTAATTAGTGCCTTTCACACGGATTATTTGCAAAGAGCTTGAGCTAAAACTAGAACCTTTCCTTAGCAACGCCTGGGGGCAAGCCACGCAAGGCCTGGTCGGAACTGATGTTGGCTCTCAGTGGTTTTCTCTGCAAGGAGGCAGCCACAGGCCTTAGCCCGGTTTGCGCAGCAGGATAAGGAGGGGGCATTTCCTTGCCCTGCGTGGTCCCGGGAAGACAGTCCAGGGAAGAGCTCAACTCAGGGAGGGAAACGGTTCCACGCGGAGCGGCTGCCGCCAGGGGGCGGACTTGCACCCGGAGCCGGGTGGGTACCAGCTTCCCAGCCCGCCGGCCGGTGCCTGCGCCCGCACCCCGGCCGCTCGGGTCACCTCCACCCCCTCGGCCGCGCCGGTTCCTGGACCGGCCCTGTGGGAGTCATCCCCCACTCCCGGAGTTTGCCCTTAAGCAGGGTGGCGTTTTAGGAAGCGAGGACCTCCCAGAATGTCTGGGAAATGACAGCGGATCTAATGAATGATCTGGTGACGTTCGGGGTGAGCGGCCGGCTTTGTGCTGAGCGTTACCCCCGCGTGCAAACGGCGCCCTCTCTCCGAGGCTCACCTCCCTCCTGCCCACCCCTCGCGGCTGCACCGATACATGTTTTCTAGTCCCAAAGCTTTGGCCAGAAATCCCCTTAGAGACAGCACTCAACCTGCTTCTAGCTCTGGGTGACTGCCAATGTGCCCGAGTCAGCCGTCTCAATATCCTCTCTCTTTTTAAAAGGAGAAATCTGGCTGTATTACTCATAATTTGGAAAGAAGATCACATTCTGCTCCCAGCTGAAGCCGCCCCAGTGTTTGCTGACTCGCTGAGAGGTCTGACTCTTTCAAACTCCGGGAGAAGCAAGCGAGCTCAACCTCTTTCCGTTTGTTCTCCACCCTCCTCCACACCAGACCGCGCAGTTTACGCATAAGCCTTTTTAAAGAGCGGAGGGTATAATTCAAAGACACCCTTCCAAATTAGCTTCCCTGGGCAGGGAACAATTAAAATGTGAGTAATTCATTTATTCTAACGGAGGCTCTGCATATCTTAACATTAAGCCCACTGCACCACTAATGTTCTCTCTGTAAACGTTCCCAGGTAATTGGGAAGGTTCCACCACTCCATTAGAAGTGCTGAAAACTGTGAGAGATTAAACTGTTCTGTCCTACAGCCTGGAATATTTGGGACTATAAAGGAATGAAAATCAAGTAGGCTCATAATGACAGATAAATTATTGCTTTATGACTGTATTGGGGCCATTTATAATCAGTTCTACATGAAATGTATATGTTTCAAAGCACAAAACTTCTATGATCACAGATGACAGGTTGTTGTTTTTTTTTTAAATATGTGAAATCCCATTTTAAGAGTAAAGTTTAAGTAACTAGCATAACATGCTACCCGTATTTATTGTTTTGTCCCTTGAGCCCTGGCTCTTCTGCTAATGACATGCACATGCTCTTTATTACTAGTGTGGGCACAGCTGGGAAACTAACCCCACTCACCATATAGGATGGTTAACATGGACACGGGCATGACAAGGAAACCCAGCAGCATATCAGCTATGGCAAGTGACATCAGGAAATAGTTGGTGGCGTTTTGCAGCTTTTTCTCTAGGGACACTGCCATGATGACGAGTATGTTTCCAGCAATGGTTAGAATAATCACTACAGCTGTCAACAAAGCAGACCAGTTCTTTTCCTGCACACGGAGTAAAGAGAAGCAGGGTGGTGAGAGGCAGCCCTCACAGGAAAGGTTGGTTCGATTTTCCGAGTCCACAGTCCAGTTAAATGCATCTGAAGTGTTAGCTTCTCCAGAGTTAAAGTCATTATTGTAGAGCCTTGTGCCATCATTTAGTTGCATTAAGGAGTTTGTACTTGAGCTCAAAGAAGTGTTTTCTTCACAAAGCATATCCATTTCTATGCAGGAACTTGTAGCAGGTGAAGTGTAGAAAAACTAACAAGTTATAGGCTCTGCTCACCATCCATTTTCATGTCCCCACACTCTGTCACACTGAAGCTGGTGTACATGCTGGGCTCCTTTAGGTGGCTTTTTTTCTCTCCCATTATTGCAATAGTAGTTAAAGAACTGCAGTGGCTCTTTATATTTCCTTCCTTCACAATTTTAGTAGTGTCCTCTGTTTGGTTTCATTTTGTTTTCTCCAAAGCAAGGTCAAAAAAGCAGAATGAACTTTTAGTATAGAGGTTGCAGAGTTCTGAGCATTTGGGGAGAAAAATGTAATCCTGGCCAAAAAAGAAAAGTTTTGTAACTACCAGGAATCTTGTTGATCTCTCTCTTATTCTGTTGCTTATGCTGATCTCACTAGGTTAGCCACAGCAATATTAAAATGGCATGCGAGCCAAAACAGTGGTTGCATGCCTTCTACATTAAGAAAGTCAATTAAAAATACATCCAGTGTTAATCCCACAGTATTTGAATGTACTTTGGGTATAGTTCTCAGTCAGTCTTTGATTGAATTACCACAGTTGCTGTCAGAAATTTCAGCTTATATTATGTTGTTTAGTTAATAAAATAAAAAAAAGTCTTAAGCAAAGATTAACAACTTTCCACACTAGAAATTCTTACTGTAAAATGATTCCATTTTGGCCAAGCATACTTTCAAGACAAAAAGGAAATTACACAGCAATAAAATATAGTATGAGAATATGAGAACTTACATTTGTCTTCAGGGTCCACACATTAGACACACTGCTCTTCTGTGACTCGCTGCGTCTCTCATCATCGTTAGGCTGGTGAAGAGTCCCTTCTCCTTGAGCTTCCACCAGCATAATATGATAGTAATTTGATTTCTGTTTTGCCGATTTCAAAATCTGCATGTAAGGGTCCAGCCAATTCCAGCACTGCGAGGTCCCTGTTGGCTTCCTCTGCCCCCACTGGGCAGGGTTACTCCTTCCCTGGGCGGCTTGCCTCAGCGAGGCACACATTTAGAAATCATTCACAAGCCCCTTTTGAAGTCGCACAAAAGAAATCGCATAGCAAAGTAGGAAGAGCTGCCTGCACTGAGGGACACGTGGGTTCCACGGGAATGGACCAGCTAGCTCTCAGGCTGTCGCGCTACAATGTCAGACCTCCCTCTGTCTGTGTGTCATAAACTGCAAGGTAGCAACAGCCAGGAGGGCGGGCCAAACAGGCTGGGTTTTTTTTTCTTCTTTCTCTTTTTGCTATATGTTAACGTTGGGAAGTTTTCCTTTGTTTTAAAAAGAGAGAAACTGAAGAAGTCGCCTTTTGTACAGATTGCTAAGGCAGGTAAACTGCACTGGAATATTTATTTGAGTGTCAGGCTGAGGAGAGAACACAAATAGGCTAGAAAATGGTGTATCCTGGGAAAGTGTAAGCAGCTTCCTTCCGTTCAAAGCCTACAGTGCCCATGCTGAAGTGGAATTACTCACATGGACCGGAGCGCAGAGTGGCCAAGCAGATCTTGGCGGATGACTCTGAAGCTGTTAGGACTTCTTTAATTTATTATTAAGTACATGCACTATTTCACTAGCTTATTTTTTTCAGCAGATATATACCACCTAGAAGTAATTCAAAACCTCGCATTTGAAAGAGAACAACATCGTTGTTCAGATATAGCATTAAAGATACCTTTCTACTTGTAAGAAAGCCCTTTCTCAGATTTCTAAAGAAGGCAGGTATATGCACACATGCATGAGTACACACACACGCACACGCACGCACATGCACATGCACACACACACACCCCTTCTTAGTTTGAGAAAATAGATTTCTTTCTAAACAGTTGGGTTTTTCTAAGTTTCTGTCCACCAGCATCTTCTCTTCTTACTCTTTATATTCTCCCTAGACAAATTTGAACTACTCTGATGGCATCAACCTGTCTGTGGTGTGGACGAAAAGGGGCCACATGCTGACCGGACAAGCTCAGGGAAGGCCTGCAGGCAGCCTTGCAAACTCAAAGACCTCAAGTAACCACAAAGGGTGGTCTGACATTTAAACTTTAACTAAAAGCAGCTTATGGCAGGTAGTCAAGTCCTAGGCAAGCATCTTCCCTGACAAAGGTCAGTTTTCATCTTAATGGAGCCTATTGCCTTTTCTTTTTTTGCATCTTAGATGACACACCTTTGGAATGTGGGGCAACTTCCTTTTTTCCAGATCCCTCAGGGTACAACCTATGCACCAGGGCGGAGACCAGAAATCCATTCATTGTTATTATTATCATGATTGTTAACTGTTAACTCTCCTGTACCCACCTATCTAAAATAAGGATATGTCTGTCATTTTATTTTTTATCTAATCCTAGAGGTCTCAGGCCCAGGTTGCTCTCTCCCACCTCCCTAATCTATCAATAGTGGATTCCATGTAACTCACTTACCTCTTCTCTTTTGATTGTAATGTATAAATTAAGGTACAAAACTGCCATTCTCAAGACATAATCTCAAGACATAATCTCAATCCATTGAGGTTTTGCTTCCTAGCATTTGTCAACATTTTAATTAAAATAAACTTACAAAATTCTTCATAGTTTTGAATGTTTCTTACATCAATAGTGGCCAAATTTGTACCATTTTAGCAGATTATTTTCCTCGGCTCCAGGCCTAAATATCCAGCTGTCCACTGGGTCTTCCATTGGTAGTTTAGGAGATGACCTCAGATCATAACAGCCACCTGTCTAAAGAAATACTGAACCAAGAGAATGGGTGGAGGTAAACACCGAAAGGTGAAAATGTACAGTTTAAGTACTCAATAAAGATCAGTTGCTATTATTATTATTGTTAGTAAGCTTATTGTTACTAAGCTTTTAAAAAAAATATGTTTTTACTGATTTCTTAGAGAGAGGAAGGGAGAGAGAGAGAGAGAGAACCAATCCATCGGCTGCCTCCTGCACACCCCCTGCTGAGGATGGAGCAGGCAGCCTGGGCATGTGCCCTGACCAGAAATGGAACAGTCCACGCAGCAATGCTCAATCCGCTGAGCCACACCAGCTGGGCTAACTTGTGTTTTAATGCCTTGATGCCACCTCTGTACGAGTGGCATATTTTACAGAGAAGAGAAAGATAGGTATTGTCTACATTGAAAAATTCTTCCTGTAATAAACTTGTTCTTCAAAAGACAACTGTTGCAACTAGTTTATTCTGGGAGCTTTCCCACAATATGACTGCTTAACTTTAGATGGTGACTTTTTTTTTTTTTTTTTTTTTTTTTTAATGGTTGCACTGGTATTCATAACCTTCGCTTGAATTTTTTTTTTCAGGCTAGAGTTATTGGTTTCTGAAATATTAGTGCCTTATGGATGTTACTATATGTGAGAAAAAAAGATTTCTTGAGCAGTGAATTCTGTAACATGCTGCATCCTGTAATGTCCTCTAACAGTACACCTGAGTCTATTAAAAGCTGAGAGAGACCCTGCAGTGAAGAAATCTGTTTACATTTATCTCTCCCACTCCCCTACCTTCCACGGAACACTCACTGCAGACATTTTTATTTGTTTTATAAATATAAAGTATATAGCCTTGGCCGGTTTGGCTCAACAGTTGGAGTGTCGGCCTGTGGACCAGAGAGTCCCGGGTTCAGTTCCTGCTAGGGGCACGTACCAAAAAAAAAAAAAAAAAAAGTGTGTGTGTGTATCTCCATTTAAAATGGGAAGATTATAAGTATTTAGTTCAAGTTTTGGAAAATATACACCTGTATAACCATTACCCAAATTGTTAGCCACCATGTCCATCACTTCCGAAGGTCCGCTCATGCCCCCTTTTGACTTTCACTTACATGGAAACGTAGTATTTACTCATTTTGCATCTGGCTACTTTTGCTCAACAGCATCTGTGAGATTCATTATGTTGCTGTAACTGTTTTTTTTTTTTTTTTTTTTTTTTATGGATTATAGTCTGAGAAACTATTAAATAGCCTAGACTTTTGGAAAATCAATTATTTATTTATTTTCTATTGTTCAAAGAAACATAGACTAGATCTATTTTGTCTGTCTTATTTAGGCTTAACTTTTGAAGATAGTGCCAGCATTAACGTTCACTCAATTGAATATATTTGGTTTTGCTCTGAATTGCAAGCATAGAATTCTTTTGCTCTATGTTCTTTTTTAAGAATATGTCCCTGAGATTATACTATTGAAATCTTCCTGATGGTTTGAGAATGAGAATAGATTTTCATAGAAATTTTTCTGAATGATATGTAATCAATTACTTTCTTTGGATGGTCCAATTCTCAGGTCTGCACAACCTGCTGACAACTGCATGCTTGGAAACAAAGTTTTAAATTGTTATCTGTTATGTTATACAATTGTCTGTGTCAAAAGAAGCAACTAATGATTGTTATCTACCTTTTCAATTTTCTCACATTGATGTTTCATTTAACAACACTCATAAATTTATTTATTTTTATTTTATTTTATTTATTCATTGCCTCTAGGTTTCCAGTTTGATGCAATAGATTTCTATTATTTGACTTAAAAAAACTTATTGTTGAGAGTATTATAGACATTCCTCTTTTTTCCCCCCTTTGACCTCATCCTCCCCAATCCCTCCTCCCTCCTGCCTTCCCCATATTACTGTCTGTGTCCATTGGTTATGCATATATACAAATAAGTTCTTTGATTTATCTCTTCCCACCCCACACCCCACCCCTCTTCCCTCTGAATTTTGTCAGTCTATTCCCTACTTCCATGTCTTTGAATCTATTTTGACCGTCAGCTTATTTTGTTCATGATGTTCCATAAATAAGTGAGATCATGTGGTACTTGTCTTTCTCTGACTGGTTTATTTTGCTCAGCATAAAATTCTCCAGGTACCTCCATGTCATCTCAAAGGGTAAGAGATATCTCTTTCTTACAGCTGCATAGTATTCCATTGTGTAAATATACCACTGCTTTTTTATCCACTCATATACTGATGGGCACTTAGGCTGTTTCCAGATCTTAGCAATTGTAAATAGTGCTGATATGAACATAAGGGTGCATATATTCTTTCTGATTGGTGTTTCAAGCTTCTTAGGATATATTCCTAGAAGTGGAATCACTGGGTCAAATGGCAGATCCATTTTTAATTTTTTGAGGAAACACCATATTGTTTTCCATAGTGGCTGCACCAATCTGCATTCCCACCAGCAGTGTCCTAGAGTCCCCTTTTCTCCACATCGTTGCCAGCACTTGTTGTTTGATAATTTGTTGATGGTGGCCATTCTGAAAGATAAGTATTGAACACTGTGTCAAGCACTCTTTTAATTGCTGAGTATAACCATAAAGGTAGACTAGGTTCTTGCCTTAATTAATTTATTTAAAAATGGTGGTAATAAACATGAGTATAGGATTTAGGGAAGAGGTATGAACTTAGTGGTCAATGGCATGTTAATGGTCTTTAGAAAGAGGGAAGGGGGGAGTTCTGAGGAACAAGCCCTGGGTTACTACACTATTTTGAGGTCAGGAGGGTGTGGAGCAAACAATGGTATTCCAGAAGTCAGGTGAAGAAAGACTCGAAAGGGGGAAAGAGAATGCTTAACTGGGTCAAATGCTCCTGAGTGGCTGAGTATAATGAGAACTAAGAAATGATCATTGAATTTGTAAAAATAGAAGGCTTTGGTGGTCTTGTTTGAAACTGTCCCAGTGGAGAGTTTGGAGTAAAAGCCCAACTAAGTGAGAATGAGAAAAAAATGGGAAGAGAAAAAGAAGTGATAAAGAGTATAGACAGTATAGAAAATTACTTCGAGGATTTTTGGGGTGAACAACACAGCAGAAAAATGAAGTGGTAATTGAAGGATGAAAGAGACAAAGAGTTAAGATAAGATAAACTATGACACGTGTTTGTGATGACGTGGATGATCCAGTAGATGGGAAACTTGACAATGTAATAAAGGCAGGAATGAAAATAAGGAAAGTGGTTGATAGGTGTTACAGTTGCTTAAGTAAGAGGTGGTTGAAGCTCAGACAAGGGTTATGATAGTGGATATGGAAACACACAGATATATTTTAGAAATAAAAGCACCAGGACTTGCCGATTTATGGGGAGTAGGTCAGTAGGAGTGCAAGGTTGGTTGGTGAAGGAGTAAAGACAGGAATCTAGGCTCAAGGATCACTTTTAGGTTTTTGGACT